CACAGAATTGCTCTGTGACATCAGCAAGTACATCTTGATGAAAGGAGGCATCTACTTAAGCCAACTGAAATGAAGAGCTGATAAAAGTCCTCATGTAGAGGAGAGGAGGAGGAATGTAGAGAAATGTTGGAAGTTCAAAGACAAATTCAAAGAACTCAAAAGACAAAGCTGTGAGAACTCTCTAGTATTTCAGAGCCAGACAAGAAGAAAAGTCACGTAGGAAAGAGCTCCAGATGTTGCTGGTCGGACAGCGGTCTTCAAAAAGGCTTGCAGTTGATCAAAAGGTCCACAAGACAGATGGAAATGCAGACTTAGGGATAAGCCAAGAAAGCTCTATATCAAAAATCATGGAGCCAACGGAAGCCAAGAAGTCAAAATGAGAATTGCTAAGAGTCAAGCGGAAGTTTTTGGTTTTTTACTCCAGTATGTTTTAAACTGAATAGATGGTTCTTGGGGTTTTTTCTACCTATCAAAGATGGATGTTTTTGGGGGAGTAGAAGGCAATCCAGGCAGCTCTGCAACCGGTGAAGTAAAATTGGTGGCGAAGATGTAACAAATCTTGAAGAGAAGATCTGTTAGGGACATAAAAGGGAACGGAAAATAAGAGAGAAAAAGGACATTTACTGAATGGAAGTAGCAGTGGAGAATAGTTTCATTCCCCCAACGTAAGAACACAGCTACTTTAAATCAACAGAAGAGCAGTAGGCCTAGTCTTGTCAATGGCTACTAAAACACTTGGCCAGAAAACAGAGTATTACTGGTTAAACTGGAGAAGGTGGAGACTTGTTGAGAATGATAAATGGAGATAATTGGTCTGGAAGGTGGTTGGTAATGGGATTTCTTGGGAAGCAGTCCTGGAACTAAAGTTAATATTTCTGTTTCTGAAAGATGCATGTACTACAATAATTAGTGATGCTATTGCAAGAGAAAGGTTAAGGTGCTTTACGTGAGGCAATAAATGACAGACTCCAACTAACGGGTATGAAAGTGCAAGGTACTTTCTAACAAACTGATGTTTTTGGCATTGTAAATCTTCTATTTAGAAATAGCAGGGGATAAAAAAACCCTGGGAAGTATTAGTTAATGACCAAAGTGAAATCCTCTGGCAATGGAGCATGTGGTTCTGCAGCAGCTGCAGGGAAGAGCTGATGGGTTGATGAGGGAACAAACATTTACTATAAAAAGCGAAAAGCATGGATATTTTTCATGTGAAAACCAGAAGATGGAACAGCGAACAAGGCTGTTGTCTTAAAATGCTCTTTGTCCTCAAAGTGAATGTGTTTAAATGGGGTGAGTAGAAATTGCATTTGGAGATTACAAGAACATTCCTAAATTTCCGTAAGGGGAACTTCTGCCACAGCCCTGCAGGTGGAACAGGGACAGCCAGAA